GTATACACTCTAAAAAATGCTGGGCTGTTTCAACCCAACTTTGGGTCAAATATGGACTAACCCAACTTTTGGGTTAAAAATTTAATGTAAAAATTTAACCCAACGGTTGGGTTAGTCCATATTTGACCTAAAGTTGGGTTGAAACAACCCAGCATTTTTTAGAGTGTAGGCTACAGGGACTCACATGAGAGTCACCGGCCACATTTTGAATGAAACTGGCATTTAAATAAGCTCCATATGTAAGTTTTTGCCTTGAAATGTTAGTTTCAAAACTGTTGAATTGAATGTGTATAGCCGCTACAACTGAGTCATGGTTTCTACAAAAATCCCTGTAGTGATGGTTGCTTTCGAAGCACTGCTTTGTGAAGCTCAGAAACCTTTGCAAATCATTTGTTTATGAATCAGGAGTTCGGAGCGCGTATCAAATGCTGCATTCACGCCATGTCGTAATTACTGTGATTTCGAGATGACAACACGTGACGTTCTACTTGGAGCTGTTCACACCCTTGCACTATCAATTCCTAAGCATAGCGCCTACACTCTTAAAAATAAAGGTGCTTCACGATGCCATAGAAGAAACTTTTTGTCTAAATGGTTCCATAAAGAACCTTTCTGTTTCTCAAAAGGTTCTTTGTGGCAAAAGAATGTTCTTCAGATGATAAAAAAATGGTTCTTTAAAGAACCTTTGACTGAATGGTTCCTCTATGGCATCGCTGTGAAGAACCTTTAGAAGCACCTTTATTTTTAAGACTGTAATGAATCTGAGGTGGTCAGGTGGTACAAGTTGTAGCTCTCAGAAAACTCCCAGTTCACAAGTTGAAATTACGAGTTCTACGAGGACGTGAAAGCTTCTTAAAGTAATTTAAAGTAAGCGTGAACAGCTAAAATGCCAAAGTCACGTGATTTCAGAGACTTCTTTACTGCGTAATTGTTTCGAAATGTTTCTATATTTCAACGGTTCGTCACTAGTAGACGATCTGTAAACCCTTGAACTATAGTGTCTGTGATTTTTAATTAATCTAGGTCTCGCATCAATTTTATAAATTTGTAGACATTTTAATGACATTTAAAGGAAGGATAGTAGGCTAGTAGTAATTAGTGTCTTGGCCTGTTTAGCCAGGTCTTCCATAAAAACAAACAACGCAAGCCCTGTGAATGAATAAAAGAACACATATTATACAGATATTTCGTATTTATTGGTATTTTTATGAATTGCTAATTGCATTTAATAGATTAGACTGTCAACAAAACATTTGCAATTGGTTTGTAAAAAGAGTTTTTATGCATATTCGAGCTGAGATTTTGTTGCATTTAAACCGGCTTGACCAGCAGGCATCACTAGCGTGTGGCGTTTCGAGCGCTTCAAAACAGTGAATCATTTTGCGAAGCAAATAATTAAATTGATTTAAAGATTCGAAAATTGTAATTTCTCCCATCACTAACCACGCTCCTTTTGAGCGGGTACGAATTCGGCGAAAATGGCGGATTGTTTTATGTCAGCAACAAATGCACGTGTACAGCTATTCACTATAATCAACAGTGATATATTTACAACAGTGAATTCCACTCACTTAACTACATACAGCTGCTTTAAATATACGTACTTTGTTTAAAAAAAAAATTGAATATTTTGCCCGCTGGCTGATGACCAGTGGAACTGGTTTCGACCTGGTAAACCATCAACAAACCAGCTAATTACTAGTAATTTAAGCTAAATATAATAAACATATAGTGAAGACGAAGCTTACCATCAGACAGAACGATGCTGACTCCAATAACGGTTAACATCAGGAAAGCGTTCATGATTGTTGAAGCTTCTGCAGTCGATTTCTGTGTAGAAACTCTGAAGATCAGATGCTGTTATTTGGGCTGCTGCACAACCTTTTATATATTATGATTTCAAAGGCCTCGTGATCTACAAAGTAGTGATTTTATTTCACTTCCCTAATCGTTCTGTGTGCGTGTGTGTGAAGGCTTGTGTGTAAATATGTGGTTTGGATCTGTTCACATGTTCATCAGCCATGTGTCATATGGATGCATCTCATGTTCGGCCCGGTTACCACGGTCAAAATCCCCCTGGAGTCCCAGACTGTTTTAACCAAAAAAACAAATACGTCAAGTGCATGATTTTCATTTGACTGCTTACCACAGTTGGAAAATGTATTTAATAGCCCAAATATTAAATGTAACATTAATCAAATAATAGTTTTAATAAAATGCAAAATTATAATATATTATATACATATTGAATTTATATAAATATTGATTCTAAATAATGATGTACATATGAAATGTTAATATAAATGTTAATCAACCTGGTTAATAGCTTGATATTTATATTCACACTTGCCATTTGTATAATTAATATTAGCCATTACAATTGAGCAACAGAAACAGTTCATCAAAGTGATTAATCATATACTGATTAAATATTATTTTAATATTCATATTGTGATTATTTAAATTCGATACCCCAGTTGTTTCACAGTTGTGTCACCTGAGTTTTAAGGAGAGATCTGAACAATGTCTCAAACTGGGCTAAGATTTGCGATCTCAAACATTTATTTCCCAGCTGTTTACCTTCACAGACATAACCGACTGTTTTTGTAACTTGTGTGTTTTTAACGTAAACTTGTGTGTGAATGAGAACTTAGTTTAGTACTCACATGCTGTGACAGCCGCTTTCTGTCCGTGTGCACTCAGAAAACCATATATCAGAAGTTTAAACTCATATGGTTTAAAACGCATGATCTCAAACACTTATTATCCAACTCTTCCCAAATCAAATGGTCTGGGCTGCACATTAATTCGAAAACCATTCACAGCTGATTACCTATTTGTGATTGCTATTCATCTCTTCTTCAGAACTTCTGAGGCACAGTAATTGAATAGTCTTTTAATAGTTGAAGTCTTTTAAGTCTGTAGAGCTATAAAAGAGCAATAAACTTCGGATGTGTGTGTGTATAAATTTGTTTGCACAGCCTGTTGTACTGCTGATAGTGTGAAATTCACTGACCTCAATCAGGACAGGAACGTCTATCTATCTATCTATGATATGCTGATACTGAGCAAAAAAAAGAAAGAGCATCTCACATTCAGCTGCTTTTATCTACAGCAAATGTCTTAACATGTGCAAATATTTGTATTAACATAAAAAGTTAAACAACTGGGACATAAACAGAAGTTTCACAAGAATTTGATGAATAGGAACAGAATAATGAGTCCCTCAAGGGGAGGATCAGTATCAAATGTTGCCGTGTGTATTTTGTGTTTCCACCAGCTGCTGTTACTTGCTGTTCCTTTGTAATTATTTGTGAAAATTAATAGCAATTTCTGAGTGAAAATTATTTCACCAGCATTGCACCTTGTTTAGCGATATTTTGTAGAAGTGACAGAAGAATTTGCAACAAAATACGGTTGACTGTACAGATGCTAACACCAAAAGGAAGCATTTCCCTCCCTTTTAAAACTTCTATTATAATATCTCAATTTATTTTGTTGTCCTATACTATATGCTCAATTAAATAGTAGTTGCGTTTTATTATTTGGTTAATTTTTGGGTCACTACTCAACAGTTACTAAACTGTGCTATATGTGTTGCAAGTAGTTCTTAATCTGTGGACAAAATTCCTATAATGGTCTAATAATTCATTCTGCTGCACGTTGTGAGACTGAACAGAGCAGCAGTCTTACTACAGCACACGATGAGAGAAGCACACATGCCGAGTGAATCATCTTATCAGAAAAGATAAATCTGCCAGAAAATTAAGAAAGAGGTCAGCGTCAGTTTAGAGGCATATGCGTGAAGAAAATCAAAAAATCTCATGACAAGTTATAGCACAGGTGCATTTATCACTCATACAGTACACTGCTATGACTTCTATGCAAGAGAAAAGCATTTGATGTGGAAACTTCTGGTGCAAAGGTACATTAAGCATTTATATACCATTATGCACTTCAAAGAGAAGATCAGTGGACGTAAAAGAGCATCTTGCATCATTTATTATGCGTTATGAAATCACCATTAGGACGTTTTCCCAGAGAGCAAACAATCCCACAGACATTTTTTTAAAAACATGTTTAAGCAATAGTTTGCCACAAAATAAATAGTGTGATCATTTGCATGTTACTAAACCCATATGACCTTCCTTCTGTGGAATTTATTACTTTTTAATGCAATTTTCTTAGGTTTATTATAGCTAGAAAATAAAACACATCAGTGCCTTGATTTTCAGTCATGCTGCAAATGTTTAAATCTAATATAAAATCATTTAAAATATTTTGAAAAATAAAACAGGTTGTATCATGTTGAGTGAAGTGGAAAAATAACTTTTTCTGAAGATCGTTGAAATACAACAACAAAAGACTTTATTTTTTTATGTATTTTCTACATTGCAAAAGTTTCTTTATTCATGCAAAGTGTTAGTCAGCAGTATTGCTTTCAGCTAAAATGACAATACAACATTTTCTGTTATGCACATTTTAAATTTGCTTTGTCAGAATGTGTTTCTCTAATGAGCAAGTCATCTGCAACAGTTTGCAATGGGGATGATACAATGTTTGCATTTAACTGTTGCATTTCACAGCTCTGCAGAAATATGCAGAAGAATAATGTGTGTGTCACGAATCAGGCCTCTGTGGCTCTCTCCGATGGCCTCCGGAGGGCACCCTCTCCCGAGTACTAACGTTCATGGACTACATTTCCCAGACACCCCGTACCTGGGGCTGATTACGGCACAGGTGTTCCCCCTTAGCTTCCCTATTTAAACAGCTCTCAGACACTCTATGGTTGCGAAGTCTTGTATTGCCCCGGCTACATTTCTGAGCGTTTATCCCCTTTCTTGTTTTCTCTTGTGTATTACCTCGGACTGTTCTAACTAGTTTGATTCTCTGCCGCCTGCCCCGACCCTCGCTTTGCCACTGTTTATTCCCTTGGATTACCCCTGCTGTACGTGACGCTGTTGACTGAATACTGCCTGTTTTACTCTGCCTGTTATTCTAATAAAAGCTGCAAATGGATCCGCACGCCTCTGACTCAGCGTTACAGTGTGATACAAAATAAAGCAAGAAAACTCATACACTTTTGCATGCAAACACAGATGGGGAATCATGCTTTGATGATATTTTTCACCCATTCATCTCTGGGATTGAGGCACGTCTGTCCATTTTTCAGAGTGGCACTGTATGAGACAAAGAAATAATGTTGAGCACTTTCTGGTCATCAAAATCACATCCACCATGCATTCAGACGTCTGCATTGCATTGATCTTTGGTTTATGTCACACTCACATGATCTCCATGTTTTTGCATTGTGCTCCAGCAGGAATCATTTGTACTTTCTGTATTAGTTTAGGGTTAATTGGTTTTCCCGAATACGTTTTAACGCACTGGCAGCGTAGCTGTTGGGCCGGCAGTCTGGCAGCAATGACTAAATGAAATGAGAGAGAAATAAGAATATTAGCCTCTTTGTAAGCTCTTACAAAACTTTTTCAACACATACTAGAAACCTTTAAATAATAATAAATGCATTAAAATACTCTCAAAAACAATGGATATTGTCAATCATGTTCACAAAGTGACTCTGCTTACCTTCTGTTGTGGACAGCAGCGTCATGCAGGTCAGAAAAACAAAGGCTGATGTGGTGAACTTCCTCATTGTGCAATTAATGCCTAAGCATATGAACAGTAAAGCTGCAGACGTTTCTTCAAGAAATTTACTTTGTGTATACTTTGGTGGGACTTTCTCTTTTAAAGAACCCCACTGCTGACATCACACTTATCAAAACCAATTGTGCAACAGGTCCTCCTTCAGTGAACCCAGATTCCAGTGAAGAAACCCAAGAGCATTAGAATAAAGCATGTTTTTTAAACACTTACTGATGATATATTTTTAACAGTTTGAGAAGCATTTTCAACCAGAAATGATCTGAGGTAAGTAAGGCAGGCCTTCCTTATGTTTGTGAATTGATGAAAAGCCAATAAAATGTCATAAATGTAATATATAAATGTAATATGAATGTAATAAATGTAATATGGGGGGGGCATTTAATCACTGACCCTAAAGTGGTGCCCTTTTGGTCCTATCTAGGTGATCAAAAGCTAGAAAAGCACTCTTACTACAAAGAGGCCTACATAAACTTTGGATATATATGGATGGAAATGGCACATGCAAATTTGGTGAGAAACTACTTGAACATGTTGAAAGCTGCAAACACTTGCCGAGGCAGTCCTCTGGTGTTTACGCCAAACAGCCAAATTCTCAAAAAACTCATTCAGCTGACGAGCCTCTCATGCTGCACAAATGAGAAACTTTGTTTGAATCAAAGAAATCTGAAAGGTAGAAAAATACCATTCACCCTTAAAACTGTTTCCCCAGCACAGCTGATCTATCAAAGCTGATCAATAGAAATGTACATGTGCTGACTTTTGCTAGTTTTTATTAGCAAATGTAATAGAGTTTAAATTATAATAGTTTACGTTGCATTATAATATGCAAATTTTTAATCAACTGAAATATATAATAAGAACAATAGCTATATGTACAGTGTTATAACTGATAAGAAAAACAAATGTTTCTGATGTGAACATGCATACTGTAAACCCTAATAAATTGGTAGAACTCAAAATTTGAGGTAATTAACAAACTCAAAGATTAAAGGGGTGGTTGATAGCGATTTCACTTTTTTAATGTTAGTTAGTATGTAATGTTGCTGTTTGATCATAAACAATATCTGCAAAGTTACGAAGCTGAAAGTTCAATGCAAACGGAGAAATCTGTCTTTTAAAATTCTGGCAGTTTAATGCCTACAAAAATGTCTCAGGTTACTTATGTAACCATGGTTCCCTGAGTAGGGAACGAGACACTGCATCCTCTAGGGGTCGCTATGGGGGACGCCTCGTCGTGACCCGTGTCTGAAGCATACATTGAAAAAACACCAACAACATGTTGGCCGGTGACAGCCCATGACATCACTACCGGTGCGATTATAGAATAAATAGGCGCCGGGAGAACATGTCGTTCACGTCTTCATCTGAAACTTGCGTTCGAAGCATAGCAGAAAGCCTAGAGGACGCAGTGTCTCATTCCCTACTCAGGGAACCATGGTTACATAAGTAACCTGAGACATTCCCTTTCAAGGGAACTTTGAACTGCGTCCTCTAGTGGTCGCTATAGGGAACGATATACCCACGCCGCCATGCTGAGGGGAGTGCGGGCCAGAACCATGGCGAGCACTAAGTACCAACTTTACCATTTTCATGGTGAGTTGCCCCTAGGACGTCAGACGGCTGTCCGTGACTTTATCCCCTACGGCCAAAGGCCTAGGCTACATACCCAACTTACCTGTTAGGGCCAGACTCCTGGGCCCGGGGTAGAGCTCAAGGCTTGGAATCATAATGGATTCCTTTAAGGGGTTACGACCAAGAACCTAGTATCACACTAAATCTTGGCCTGTCACACAGGGGCTACCGCTTGCTCTTGCATAAGCTCTGAAAGGAACTGTCTCAACAGACCTCTAGTGGCCACACCCTGTTAAAGTACCTAAGTGGATACCTAAGTAGAGTGGTGCCCAAGGTGAACGGGACTTAAACCAGCTCAAGAAAGGGCACAAAGCAACCGCACAAAGCCCTCACCTTACAGGATTTTAGAGAAGAACGCAAAGAACTAGCGTGCAAACTTACCACAATGTGGATTTTAGAAAGTGCACAAAGCCTTCACGTGCACACTTACCATAACATGGATTTTAGGATACCGTTCTAAGGGGGCTCTCGTGGCACTCTGAAAGAGCAGCTCATAGATGGAATGGTGCATACCAAACCCAATATGTTTGAGAGTCACCAACTCGATCTAAGACATAAAGTTGGAATGGCTAGCAGTAAATCTCTAGCTGAGGGGGCAAACACCCAGCTCTCACACGAGAGGGGAGCTCGACATACTGCATGTTCCAATGCTGGAACAGCTAGCAATAATTTACTTAGCAGAGGGAGCACCACACCCAGCTCTAAAACCAATATGTTTGAGAGTCACCAACTCGATCTAAGACATAAAGTTGGAATGGCTAGCAGTAAATCTCTAGCTGAGGGGGCAAACACCCAGCTCTCAAACGAGAGGGGAGCTCGACCTACCGCATGTTCCAATGCTCATAGCATCAGAGAGGCGGATTTGGAAGGGCCAAGTTCACCTGATGCTACTGGTTCCAGGTGTGTATGTGGGTTTCGGAAAGTGCACAGAACCAGAACCTGTGAAAAGCTGCTCTTTTCAGCGTGTGCACTTACCATAGCATGGATTTAAATTTCCAGGCATCTGATCACAGATACCCGGAGGTACTGGGCCAAACGGGAGAGGCAAGCTCAAATACGACCCTCTAAGGTGAGGGCAGCACTGCCTGAGACAGCATTACACAAGAAGGTTCCCGCAAATGCCACCTATACTTCCCGCTCGATGCCTCGATGCCAAGAGGGGATATCCTGGAGCCCGGACATCCAGGAATTTTTTTGCAGTGTCGTGCCGGGGGCCTGATGATCAAGAAAGCTCCCGCAGAAGCTCTGACCTGGCCGCATGGTCCAGGAAGCATGAAGCTGGAACCAGGGCTATCATACCAGCTGGACACAATATCGACGAGTGAGGTAACACTGCCAGTCGAGCACCTGGTTTCTGAATCCAGCAAAGGGGTGCTCACAGAGGACCTACCTTAAAAAGGACAGAAAAACACAGGTCCCGGAAAACACAGCAAAGAAATCTCACAGAAAGATTATACACACATAACCACCAGCACATTAAAAACATATATATATATATATATATATATATATATATATATATATACAGGTGCATC